GGCTAGTCTAGAATGGGTCATGCATTGATATGAACCACAGTCACAAGGGCCCACACACTCACCCTCCTCCTCCTCATAGCGATGGTGAGAGACGCCCGTCCCTCGGTCTCCATGGTTCATCCTGGTGAAGAAGTACAGAGAGACATTTTTCAAATGGTGAGAATAGAAAGACACATTTTGAGAAAGATAGGACATTTTGGTCAGTTCTCACTGGGTTAAGGCTTCTTTAGGTTTTCGTTTACAATTAGGTTTCGGTTTAGGCATTTAGTTGTGATGGTGAAGGTGAAGGTATGGGTTAGAGAATTCTTTATGACAATGATTGTTGTTTATGTAGTTGTGTGTGTACATTGTATAAATGTTCATTTGCTCTACCCGTGTTTGCTTGTGTTTTTCAGACACTGGTATGAATGTATCAATGTGTTATATCTGTAATGTGAGCCAGCAGCTGCAGCAGCGGCCACTCTTGTTCACTGACCTGTATGTAGGGTTACAGGGAAGATCAATAGGAAAATAATTAACAGCTGGGCCAAGGCGATGGAAATGTGCAAATGTGAGGGGACCTTATCCCATGTGGCACCAATCACACATTGGACACCAGCAGCAACGTTTAAGGCCACCATGTTCCCACTGGACAGGGGTCAGACAGATTACAAACATTTACAGTAGGCCTGTTACACACAGGACTTTGTTAGCTGCTAGATGCAAATTAAAACTCAAATACCCCTTATATGTCTATGGAAGGTGAACATTGCTCAACAGTTTGTAAAATGTGAGGAGTGGCAGATTTAGTCATTGAAATAGAAAAACTGTGAGATGTTAATGCAAAACTAGTGCAGATTAAAAAAATGCTCACTCCCTGCATCAACATATGTGGTTATAGAAACATGCTGCTAGGTCGGGCTGAAGTTAACAGTAGTAGCCTGAAGCATATTTAGAACTGCACAGATCAATTGAATTCTGCCTGAGGGAAGAACTCCAAAACACACAGAAACACATATAGCCCTGATGTATTAGGAGTGTTTCTGGGCACCAGGTAAGTACATTCTTCACTCTGCTTATCATTTTGTTGTTACTTTCATCACAAGCTTCCACTAACTCAGTTGCTGGACAGGTCATGTGAACATGACTGGTGAGAAGGTGCAACATTGAGAATGAATGATGCCCTGTCACATTATACATTAATTTATGGAATAAAGTATTTACTGATGGAGCTTCAGGCCATTAACGAAATTGTGTTACTATTTTATTTGCAGAGCGTCAGACCACATTTATAACATTTGGCCTCATAGAAGCACAGATGTTAGTACATTTAATGTAACATGCACCTATTGGGTCCCTCTGCATGTCAGTCGCTCACTTGTCCCTGCCTACCTCTTAAGTTATTATGTTGGTTTGCTGTAAAACACAGTCATCATATACTGTATGTTTGTCACTACCTCTACCAAGTTATGTTTTCAGCCCAGTCCATTTGGTTGATTTTATATGTTTGTTTGTGAACAAGACGACATGCAATAACCTGAACAGATTACAATGAAACTAAGTAGAAGGAAGTGGTGCAGGCCAGGGAAGAACAGATTAAGTTTTGGTGTGGATATGGATCAAGGTGCAAATCTAGAAATTGTTATTCACTGTTGTGAAATAGGATGTTTTTCCACATTTTTGTTGATTCCTCTGAGAATGATTAATAATCTGCACTGGAACTGATACCTATGACTGTGTGGCACTTGGTGCAGATTTTCTGTGACATTCTAATTGTACCTGTGTTCTTACCGCTTGTCAAAATGTCTGATGTGAAAAAGATCTATTACATTACATGTAGTTTAGCCAATACCTGGCAAACAGCCAGAGAAATAAATAATATCAGGTTATTAGTATTCCGTATACTGAATTATGGCTAGATCTACTGTATACTACTCTAATCATTATTATTTCTAATCATTAGGATAAAGGTAAGGCTGATATGAAAGATATAATCAGAAAACTCACAAAAGTCTTTTGGTTACTTTCCCCCCTTTATGGAACATGAAGCCCGCACATTGTTTTGGTCTTATGGGCTGCGACCTTACTGATGTTTGTTCAGTCTCATTGCATCAACACACGTTCAGTTGCAGCGGGCAACTGTTTTTAAAAAGGTTCAGATGAAGCCACTGAATGTTACCTGCATTATTAATGTAGCTAGAGATCCGGATATTCAACATTGGAAATAGGAAATACTGTTTTTGATCTGGCAGCTTGCAAAGAAGTACTGCTCCAACTGTAAGAGCCAAAACAGGATATTTACAGATCAGAGTTTCTGTGGGAAGTCATTTCTGCTCTTCACATCCCATGAGGCAAAGGAGTGTTTCTTTGTGGGTAATATCTCATTTTGGCATGACACAATTTAGCCTTGAGGGATGAGAGGTGTAAAGTGGCTGGTGGAGGATGGGTTTAGCCCCGCAGAGCCCAGTTGAGCTGCCGCTGTGAATGTTTGTAGCGCTGGCTTCCTGCCTCCGTAATTAGTGCTGTCACATCGGTGCCCTTCACACCCAGTAGACAGCTGGAGCGAGGGCTGCAGGCTGCCTCCCTCACGGGCTGATCGATGGGCTCGCCCACGCCACCGAAACCCCCGTACCGCTTGATAGAAACATGCATACACACACACACACACACACACACACACACACACACACACACACACACGAGTCATGCACACTCACACATAAACATGCACACGTGCACAAGGGATCATGTGTTCACATGCTCTGCTGCTATATAGGCAAATGTTGTCTGTGGCAAACACCAGCAGCCAAATGCTCATATAGTATAGGTCATTATGTATAACAAGTTTGTTTTTAACACTGAGACATCAGTGAGTGAGACAGTAATTCATTAGTATTAATGGTAAATAGTTTGTATTTATATAGAGCTTTTCAAGTCTTGATGACCACTCAAAGCACTTTACACTACAGTTTTCCATTCACCCATTAACACACACATTCATACTGTGCATCTATTAGCAGCAATTTTTTGTGCTATGAGGGGCAATTCAGGGTTCAGCATCTTGCCCAAGCCCACTTTTGCATGCAGATGGGGAAGACTGGGGATTGAACTGCCAACCTTCTGGTTGGAGGATGACCACTCTACCCCTCAACCTCTTAACATTTTCTATAGTACATATATATATACTGTGCATACAAAGTTCAGCCTCATTTAAAGACACTCAAGGAAAAGTCAGACTATGTAATACAGGAAACATGGGTAGTATGATTCAACAATGTTGTATGGCCTTTTTTTGCTCTGACTAATTATTTTGCAGTGTACAAATCCTGCATATACATACACAGAGTAAAACCCAATAAAAGCATATAAATGCTGTAGACACGCACACATTCACTCACAACAGTTTGTGCTAATTAAAAGATGTGTGCATGTATTTGCTTTTATCTGAGTGGAGATAAAGTGGAAGAGAAATTAGAGTTATTAGGATAAGTGGTGCTCATTAGTGCTTCAGTAAGTTTAAAGAAATTACTCCACATCTCATTGACTGGCTAGAAAGTTTTAAAAGCCTGATTAAAAAACTTTATTTTGTCCTAGAAGGGGACGGTGTCATATAAAAGCAGATTTGCAGAAATAAAGCAAAAAATGTTTTAACAATATGAGTTTTTGAAAGAGCAGAACCAAAAGCTAAAACCACAACAAGACATCTTCCTAACACTTGATCCAGAACTTAAAACTAACATATAATCTCCATTATATAGGTGTGTGACATATTTAGATGATAACCTACACAACTTTCAACTTGACACAAAGTCAGATGTAAGTTTTATTCAGTAGCATCCATCACAGACATATGAACACCAGTGGAATGTGAGTCCGTGTTTGATATTAAAGACCCCACAAAGGGTCTATATCAGTACTTTCCCCACACCTCCTTTACTGTGTTGCTGTCATTTACAAACACAAGGCCCGGAGCAAAGAAAAACCAAGACACTAAATGTCATCTCAACAATGTCGACTCAACAAGATGAGAAAATTGAATTGCACTGTTTAGCGTTTCAGAAAGACATTGAGAGCAATCAAAGAAAAACTAAAAACTAGGCCAAACAATGACACAAAGAGATAAGTCCACCTACCTGGATTAGTTGTCAGCTGGAATGAGTGAAAGGGGAAACGGCCTCTGCTGCTTGTTGGGTCGCGTCAATGAAAACATACCAGTGGAGCTCTGACAACCTATCGAATGATACAAACTCTGCAAAGAGGAAAGCTCCTCTTTATTTGTCTCTGTCTGTCTGTCAGAACGGCTCTCGCTCTGTCTCCCTCTCTCTCATGACTGGTTCAATAATGGGCAAACTAGGACTCAGTAGAGAGCTCCAGGCAGGAAGTTGTTTCAGTGGTTTCACCATCCACCGATAGAAAAACCCTTCAATATACTGCACCAGCAGGTCAATATATAGCATAGTGGAAAAAGTGATAAAAAATAGGAAGTTGCAGGATGCTGCTTGGGAAACACAGTGCAGGTTGAGAATGGATTTGGAGGTGGCTATCGACCGCATCTGATCACCAAGTTGACACATCACGTTTGATACCCTGTCATTCTTTTACATTGGGTTATGTAACGTGTTGTACGAATGAAAGAGGTTCCTATCTAAGCCTATACTATAGATTTTTACTGGACATGGAAATATATAAAGAAGTTCCAAAACCTTTCAGTCCACAGTGTTTGTGACTGGTGTGATAGGTTGGCTGTGGGCCTAGTAAGGCCATCATCGCAGTGTTACTCATTGTTTATTTATGTGGTGTCAGAATAATTGTAAAATTAGAACCTAACACCACTCTTACACCAAATATAAATGTTTTTATGAATAACATGCACATTTAAAATGATTAAAGTCCATTGTGGAGGTGAAGGGGCGGAGAGAGCACCTTCACCTGCACCACAGAGGATCAGTCAGCACAGGTGAGATCTGTTAGCTGATTGATCCTCATGCTTGAAAAGGCAGCAGCAGAGCTGCCTCGGGAGGACACACACTGGGGAAGAGAGACTTGGTGAAGCTAATGGTCCAGCAGAAAGTGCTGGACCCTTTTAAGTTCAATATTTTGTCAGTTCTGTTGGCCTGCATTAAAAAGATGTTGCTGAGCACGCAATGGGTGGACTGGTTCGTCGCTGGCTGTCGTGGTGGGAACCCCGTGGCGTGGTCTACTGCCACATCCATCAAACCTGATCCTTTTTATTTCCTCTTTGTTGTTATGCAAATATTGGAAAGAGGTGTCGGAAGGTTGTTTAACTGTGTAAAACCAATAATTATAACTGATTACGTTCACAGCCATGGGACATTCCAGTCAGACGCTCACTCTTGAAGCATTTTGTCCAGGGTGGCAGGGACAGGCTGGGCTCTTTGAAGGTATGTTTTCAAGTTGTCTTTGTTTTAACCCTAATGAACTATTTCATAGACTTTTGTTGATCACTTTTTTACTAGTACGAAACACATAGTAGCCTATCTCATCGTTAACCAAAGCACTGGAGAAATGTCAATTTTGTCCTGACGATGACATTAGAGGAAAAGTTAAAGGAGCGCAAATGGTTTTGCAATTCACCCTGGAAGTGACAAAAACTCGAATTCATCGTGATCCACTCCACATAGTCATGACATTCATAATTAAAACCCTTTCTGTTTTGTTCATTTTTCAATTGCCTTGTAGGGTTAGGGCATGTAAGTGCTACTATATACAGTATGTTCTAGGATCAAAAATGTGTTTGTTCCTTTTTCATTTACATTTTGTAGCATGTAGCATTTGTAGCATTCTACTGGGAGCCATGGTGATTGATCATAATGATCATAATGGCCATGGAATATGAACAATTCATTCATTCACTGCCTCCCTCTTCATCAGTCAATGAACTGAAGTAAATGTCTTACTCCATTCATTCATTATCTGTTCTGCTTATCCTCTCAGGGTCGCAGGGGGGCTACAGCCAATCACAGAGGAACACCCTTGACTGTCATTCACAGGGCCATATAGAGAAAGCAACCTTTCAAGCTCACCCTCACCTACAATGTCTCCAATAAACCAAAGCTGCCTGACTTTGGTTTGTAGAAGGAGAACCTGGAGAAGTCACACTCAAGTGCTCTGAGGCAACAGTGCAAGCCACTGAACCACGTGCCGTCCCACAAGACTTCACCAAAGATTTCAAAAACCAGGAGACTGGTCACTTAAAGCCATTGGGGAGGTTTGGTGATTAGGACAAACTGACCCTTCAAACTATGAATCACTCTTCTTCATCATTATTGATCTTCCTCACCACTGAGGAGACCGAAGGCCACATGCTGATTTTCTGCACTTATGCAACAAACAGGCAAAAGGAGCCCCACAGACGACAACCTCTGCTCCTTAAAACCTCTCAGTTCATAAGAAGAAATCATGTGATGCCTGTTCAGTTTATTGACTCTACTGATTCCCGCTGCCTCTCCTCCCATTGTACCAGCTCATACAGCGGAGATGACTAGAGAGAGGCTATTAAAGGTAGTCTGTTAAAACCTAATGGAGTGTTACTGCAGATCTGAGGAGGCCCAGCTAAAGAGCGCTGAATACATCAAGAAGTTAAGCAGGAGGATGAGACAGGGGGGATATATATGACAAGAGACCCCTGTGTAAGTAATAAGTTTCCATGATACCCTGAGGGAGAAGCCTCTGGTGAGATGTGAAATCTATCTGTTTTACCCCACAGCACATGAAGTGTTCAGTGTGAAATTGACTGCAGATTGCTTACTCAAGCTCTCCCTGTAACTCAAGCCCGATATGAAGGTAATTCAATCAAAGTCACGGAGGCGTGGCCACTTTTCTGCTAAGAGGGAGTTGGAGACAGTTTATTCTTTACACAGGAAAAAATATTATATAATATATATAATTATAATACTATATAATATTTTATTTGTATAGCCCATATTCACAAATCTCTTGTCTCAAAGGGTTTAACAAGGTGTGGCATCCTCTGCTCTTAACCCTCAGCCAGAGTGAGGAACCCCCCCCCCCCCGCTTCTCTTTATTCATTAGGACAAACACATGCTCATTTTAGTAACACAAATACTGGGGGTGATGTAAAGATTCAAAACTAGAATAATATAATTGGTCTACGGTCATGATGTTCACCAGCCTGCGACCATGCGGCTGTAGCTTCTGGACAATACGAGCTTTCGCCTGCTCCAATTTCAGCCATTTTCCAAGAATCCTGGAAATTGCATGTTATTATCAGAGCTCCATACATGTGCTCTTGCAACAAGTGAAATTGATATTGAGGCTGCAAATACCCAAGGATGTTATCTGACAGATAAGGATGTGGAAAACGTGATTGTAACAGCAAAGCTGACATCCACATTATCATAATAACGTAATAACAGCTTGTTTGGATGTGCGCACATCCTGCACTCAGGCCATTTAGGTTTTTTTTTTTTTTAGCTGACGCAATTCATCTCATTATTCCGCATGCTGTCTCTTGATCAACGTGATGCGGGAGGAAGAGATGTGAGAAGAGAATGACCTGCAGGAGGAGAGAGAGCTGCGTGCGTGCGTGCGTGCATTAATGTGCAGCTTGTGAACTGAATTAATAAGGCTGGTAAATCTCAGAGAGAGAGAGAGGGCTTTGTGTACCTTATTGCCACATCATGCATAGTATTAAAGGTCCAATCACAATTTCAAGGCGGAAGTACATCATAGTCTTTTACACAGTACACCAATATACAGTGGCTTAGTTTCACTAGATGCTGCCACCACCCGGTTTCACCAGAGGGAAAGTATTGGCCATGTGATGAGCAGTGTCTGGTGTTTGGAACTTTGTACAAATTATATTTCTTTTTCTTTAGACCAGGGAATCTGTTCCCTCGTGCTCTCGGTCCTTTAAATGTTCTCTGGCAAACGTCAAGCACGATGTCACAAGCATTTTATTCACAGTGGCTTCCATCCAGCCCCTCTACCATAAAGGCCTGATTGATGGAGAGCTGCTGAGATGGCCGTCCTTATGGAAGGTCCTCACATCTCTGTAGAGGACTTCTGATGCTCTGTTGGAGAAAACTCATTGACTCGTTGCCAGGTTATTCAGTTTGGCCAGACAGCCAACTCTGGGCAGAGTCCTGGTGGTTTATAAATGAAGCTCTCTCAGACAGACTTGGGGCGTTTTCATAACTCAAAGTCTGGACCAAGATCCAGACCAAGGTTCATGTCTTTGTTACATGTTTACAGACTGTTTTAGTTTCACATAGTCTATCTGTTTGAACGGAGAAAATGAATGAACTGGTTAATTGTGTTGATTTAATTGCCACTGTAAAATCATTACAGTATTACTACAAGCAAAATGAACATCCTCATCGTTGACGGCAAGCAGTCCTGTGAGTTTGCTTCTTCTCCTTCTTTTTCTTCTTCTGTTTATTGCAATATCACCTTTTGGCCTGACTAAATTGTAGTCCTTTGTAGACCATGGTGCGGGACCATTCCCATCTGCTATTTATGTTTGGACTAAATGAAAAAATCTTAAGGTCCAGCATAAACAAGGTATGTGTGAAAGCGCCTTTATATTCTCAGAGGCTCTACCTTACCTGACAATTTCACCAGGTCCTGTGTTTGTGCTTTTCCATCATCCACTCATCAACTTAGCTGCAGAGACCATCCTACCTCTGGTGTCTCTCTGCTGCCAGTGTTGATCACAGCCTCATGCACCAGGCTCCAGTGGGGAATCTCTGATCTGCTGCCATTCATTGGGCTCTATCCCTATACATCACTTGAAGTGATGGGGTAAATGCCAAAGTCTCTATTTCTGTATTCATGTTCATTTATGTCATTCCTTCTGAATTGAATCTCCCCAATCTCGTCCTCTCCACAGTTTTAAGGTCTACAGAAATCATTGGACTTAATGGTTTGGTTTACGTGCGGACATGCAGTGAGTCATGTGACCTTGACTCTCTAAACTATGAGTCTAAACAATTAGTTAAGCTACAGGTGAACTCTAAAGTTTAGACACATATCTTGATCATGAATAAGAAAATAGGATGCACCGTACAACAGTTGTCAGTTCTGGGTAGATTCATACAAGTAGTGCCTTTTCCATTGGTCAAAAACACAGAGTTACTCTGCAATGTGAATGGCTACAATCTGCATTCACTCCCAGCTCAAATGACCCTGCAGCAGACACTGGTTTTTATTGTTGCTCCAATCAGCAGTGATGAAAAGGAGACACCCAGAACAAGATGCTAATTTCACAAGACAGTGAGGTGAGAGCGAGTCTGTCTTCAGTGAATTTGTGATGGCAGATTGGGGTGGGGTTTGTTGGTTAATTTAGCTTAGCATAAAGACTGGAAACAGGTGGGTTCAGAATGAAAAATGAATGTTAGAGGAACATAACAAACAAATAATCAGTCCATCTTGAAGTGGTGATTTGCCTTATGAAGCTAGACGGATAGTTAACATGTATATAACAGTCCTTTTGAATCATGCACTGGCAAATTGTTTTGGGTGCCTGGATCCCTTTAAACCTTTAAACCTGCCTACGAGCCTTGTTGAAGTCCGGATTTCACAGTGACTTTCACTCACTTCCTGGGGCTTTTGAAGTATCACAGCAGTTATCAGTGAGAAGTAGAATTTAAGAATTTCAAGAGGGAAAAAAAGTTTCATATATTTACTGCATTCTTCAGCGTGCAAAACAGCAGCGCATCACAAACGTCCGTAGACAAATTCAGCTTTATTGACAAGAACAGTAGTGCTGATACAAGGCAGGAGCTAGGGGGAAGCTCAAAACAGTGCATAACTCAGATACAAAAAACCATCAGAGCAGCTTTTCACTGAACTTTAAATCTGGATAATGCCTTCAGTTGTTTCTTGAAAAGATGGAAGGAATAAAAAGTTTATTTTAAAAATGACTGAAGTCCCCCCGATGACAGCCTAACATGTAAACCATTGTTTTGTTTTGTTTTTCTCTTTTAAACTTACATCATATACAGTACAAAACATGCATCCCATGTTTTTCAGTTTTACAATGTACACTGATTGCACAAAATCAAATTGAAATCATAATAAAATTAAATAATACACAAACTGTATACATCCTTCACAGACGCTACACGCAAGACATACTATTCCTATTTCTCAGACACTGAAAAACATCTTTTCAAGCTACCATTAATTTACACACCAAATAGTAATGTCCTCGGACTACTGGGCTATTTTCAAAACAGCCTGAGGTAAGCTTTAGCACATGAGACATAGCTCAAATTCAAAAGATAAAAAGTGATATAATGCCATAAATCTTTCCATATCCACAAATAAGACAAATGAAAGGTTCTTTTTTAAAAGCCAATGTTGCAGGTTGGTCTTTCAAATTTTGTAGTGAACAAATTCATCGACAGAGTGCCAAAATCCTCACAGAATGTCTCTTGATCCAATGACTCACATATTCAACCATTAAGTAGTGCAACACAACTTCAACAAATGCACAGAATACAATAACAATAAAAGAAAGGCAAAAACCCAAAAGGCAAGAAAGTAAAAAGACCACTCAGTGTTCCCTTTTTTGCTTCCGGCCAACATCCACCTCATCCAGCCCAGTGGCCGATCTGGACTGCTGCAGCTCTCGGAGCTGCGAGTGTGTGCGAGGCGCCTGCTTCTTGAGCTTCTCCAGGTGAACGTCAATGGGGTCGAGGTCAGGCTCAGAGGCAGGGACGGGCAGGTAGCCGCCGTCCCTTGGCAGACACATACACCAGCCGGCGCCAGCCAGGTCCAGCTCGCTGTACTGAAACCCAGCCTTCTTCAGCTTGAAGTCCACCATGTCTGCCGACTCGCTCATGTCCACCAGCAGGTTCCAGAAGACGCAGCTCAGGATGATGCCCAGCAGCTGCAGGGAGACACAGAGACTTGTTCAGACAAATGTCAGTGTGTCTTGAGTCAATCTATGATTGTGAAATTAATAAATGCACAAGAGCTGTCAAAAAAAGATGGATGACTTGAATGATTTTCCAATTACCAGTTTGTCATTGATTAACTTTCACTGACTATGTTATAATACACACAAGGAAGAGGAAATTATTAATTGGTTGATAAATTAAAGTGAGATGTTGATTACAGCACCCAGTGTGCATTTCAGCAAGAAACATCAACAATTACACTCTTGATAAAAATGAAAAACACAATCTGCAGCTTAAATTAACTGCTTTTTGAATTCTGGATTTTGGATGATTTCATCTCCTAATGTGTTTAATAAAAAAATTAATACTGCAACAATGAGGCAATTTGAATTTGCTGTGATTCACACCTCAGCACAAGGTGCCGGGAGCATAATTAAAGACCTTAGATTAACTGTGGATTTAATTATAGGTCTGTCATGTATGTAAGAGAGAAGACAACACCTCCTGAAATAAAAGAACTGTTCCAAATGATCATCTCCATTGTTACAGTTCAGTTGTGTAAAACGAGATGTGCCATGATGCTCCAACAGACTAACTGACAGCAACAGTCACCAGACACACTCGCTGACCTCAGAAGGAGAAGATCTCTGGACAAAACTCAAACCCTACATTGATGCATGCTCAACATCTGGTTCAAGGATCTCTCACCCTGAGACTTTTAATCTCCCTGCTACATGTGAGCTATATGTTTTTGGTATATTTCTCATATTACTTGTGGCATGCGTTTGTAATGTATTGAAGTTTAATAACAATAAATAAAAAATAATAAAAGGAAAAAGGAACAACTGGATTTTTCTCCCAGAAAACAGTTCTATAAAATGAGGTGTAGGTTTTTAATTACAGCTGGACAAAGTCTTGCAGCTTGTATGAGCTACAGTTTATGTATGTGGCAGTGGTGCTGGAGAACACCAAGGCTATTTA